AGGGGCCTTGTCTCTGTTGCTGGGACTTCCTCAGTGCCTCTGCGGTCTGTTCGGTCTGTCAGGAGGTAACCCTCTGTCGCGTGAGTCATTAACCACACAATGAAGCAACATGGAGGACAATTTTTTGTTGGTATTGTTATAAAATTTTCTGGTCATTTTTGTAAGGTTCGTTGTTTTTTCGGTGGCTGAACCGAAAACGGCGAATGTGGAGAGTTTGAATTAAATAGTCTGTTTCTTCGAATACATTTTTCTCACTCAGATCTTTTCTCGTCCTGTTTCGTCTCTCCATCCCCAAGCTCTGCCACAACTGAAGACACTTGGTTATTTCCCTCTATCTCTTTTGGGTGAATATAGCCCGAAGAAATAGCCCTGTGTATAAGAATCCTTATATCGACTATCCCCTGAGCGACCTCTGGGTATTTTATTACATTCTTTTTTAAATTTGACTTTGATGTTCTTCCATTCGTTCTTTACGTTCTCTTATGAAAAATAAAATGCTCTCCATAACCAAACCGTCGTCAGAAAAATTTATATTTCTTACATCACTGAAGTAAATTGTTGTAAAATGTATTAACGTAAACATGATCGTGTTTGTGTAAGATTATAATCAATATATTTTATATCGCCCTTAAACCCCTGACATTTGACAGATTTCATTTTAGTGGTTTTCCAGGTGTTTAGCAACAGGCTAATAATACCCGTAAAAACCTTTGAACAATGTAGCTAAAACAGAGTTCATTGGATCAAATCAAATATATATAATAATAAAGGCCTATTATTAATTATTATTATTATTATTTTGATGCGCTACAACTACATTACGTTAGCTAGATGAACTCTCTTGTTGATGTCCTAGTGCACCCATATACATACAAGCAAATAATGACGCCAATTACTGTACTATACGTAGTAGGTGATTACGTTCTAGCAAAGTCTGAGCGAGAGATATTCCTTTGGTCACGTTTGCAACTTCTTGATACAATACGTTATACTCATTTCGTAAACATGTATTATGATATATTAACTCCCAATTGTTCTCTCCGCCGCAACTCCTGACCAGCATCCGAATGTATCAGGAAATGGGTGGCCTTCACATTTTCAGAGTCTATCAATAGAAACAGTTAAAATGTTCGTTCCCTGATGAGACTGATCTAATGTGATACCTGACATTATAACCTGCATAGAAGTATTGCAGTACAAAGAGCCAAACAAAATGTGGTGCTACCGATTTCTTATACTACAATTGAGTAGCAGACTTTCATAAACGGCTATGCTATGTTCCAGATAAATCGAGAAATGTAACAAAAACTGCCGTGTATCTGCAAATACCTGATATCGGCAAAATTATGCAAGAAAATCACATGTCCACATACATACTACAAAAAGGATTAACTGAAGAATATCAGAATTTCGTTCTTTGACCTAAAATGTATTTCGTTTAATGCGCTTTGTTTGTCTAAAGGTGAATCCTTTTCTGTGGGAAGCGGTAGCTTAATCCAAATTATTTTTCATTTACCGATACAATAGTTTTCTTAGAGGTGCATTAAAAAAAAACTGATCAAACTTTCACTCCGACGACATCTTTGATGCAGTTACATTCCCTTTGGGCATTATCTTCATCACGATTATCTTGCAGTCCTGATGCTCTGAAAAAATTGGAAGAATTGATCCTCACGCCATCCTTCTGAAGATAATTGCACCAAAAGTTTTCAACTTTTTCCCTTTTATTTTATGATTTAAAGGCAGGCTTTTAAATATTAAATTTTCAATCCAATTTTCAATCCGTTGATTCCTTTTTATCAACGTTGGATTGTCACGTGCCAAAATCACGTAACCTTTTTTATTAC